AAAACATGAGCGGTTAGTTGAAATTCAGGTGAGTGGCAGCCTGTATACGTGACAAAGGAGGAAACAATTCACAGGATTAGAAGGCGGAACGGTAGACAAGTTAACATTTTTATTCTTGAGACAAATTCGGCAACAAAAACAAAGGCGAATTTAAAGAGCTTTGAGTACTTTTATATTCGGAGGCTGGAAACGCAAAATATAATAATAAAATTATAATATACAATAAGTTTACAATTATTTAAAATCTGCGCACATTTTATGGACACCCTGCATAGTAAAGCTAAACAAACCCTTCAGACGCTCTAAAAAAACATGTCCTAATTTCCTAGACGCTGTACTGTACATCCATTAATACACCTAAGGAAATAGTGAAAATCAAAAAAACTTGCGAAATGTGAAAAATCCGTAAACGTATCCTAGGGAAAATCTGGCGATGTATCAAGCCCGCCAAATGAAAACCACGAATTCGCGGAAGATTCCTCTATTCCCCTAGCCTAATCCTTGAATTTATCATAACTCTCATCTTAACCATAGTCCTAACCTAAATCCTTGCCGTAGGTTTCGTATAACTTGGCACATAGCTACTAGTATATTGAGCAGGTGCTGGTACAGTGTCCTGCCGAGGGAACTATATGCCTTTCTTTCTCACTTCCTTATTTATTCCTTCTGAACTGCCCCCCTCCCGCACGCTGTTCAATGCAAATGGAAATTCTTTCATATTAAGGTTCATCGTGCGGACATCCAAGATACAGATGGAATTCGAAGCATGCAACTTACAAGGTCCAAAATTATTTTAAATAGCAGACACCCTTTCGAATTACCCAAGACTGAGAAACAAAATGATAGATAATAAGTGTTAGGGCATAATTTGTCAAACCGTCTGAAACCAGCTCCAGAAACAGTTTGTTGACGAATTGAGGCAAAGTTTCGCATCCCAGGTACGTGTATAGATTGAGAAGAAGGCGAAGCTGTGTCGATCACGGGAATCATAGTTTTACTAGTCTGAGCTTTCGAACTCCTAAGGGCGCCCATCATCAGAGATACGAAGCAGCAACAAATGGGGGGGTTGTTATGGCGTGTGTACAAAACAAAAGTTTCAACCTGTAGAAAATCAATAAATGTCTGGTTTGGGCGCTGATTTGGCAATGCGGATTT